ACGGTGTGCGGAACGGCGACGAGCTGCGTGCGACGGTGTGCGGAACGACGGCAATGCTGCTTGCTGCTGCCTTGGACGAGTCAATTTCAGCCTCGACGCTTCTCCTTAGCTAAGTTTCCTCTACGCACCCCCCATCCTCCATCGGTCCCCATCCGTGTCTTTCATCTTTTGGAAATCTCAAGGCGCATTCGTCTCTTGGCGCATGGTGGTGGTGGTCCGTGGTGCTATGGCAGCAGAGCTCATGTAGAGTGCAGTGTAGTGGGAGTGGTGGGATAGAGTAGTGGAGAGGGAGTGCATTCATGCCATGCGTGCGTCCCCCAGTCTCCCCTCGCTGGCTCAGCTCGCTGCTCTAGTGCTGTGGGCCACTGTCGCCATGCGCCTTCCCCGTTCCCCCCCCCTACCCCCCACTCCTTCCCCCTCCCCTACCCCCCACTCCTTCCCCCTCCCTCAACTCAATTTTCGCTTACGTTAAGTTTCGAGTTTCTCAGTCTTGCTCTCCACTGCTTCTGCTCTATTGCCCACCTTGACCTGCTTTCTTCCCACATCTGAGTTTCTGCCTCCAATGTTACCCTGTTCCTTGCTGTGCTTTCTGCCGCACTCATTCAGAATTTATTGACTGACCTCTTCCCGAGGCTGATCCTTCTTCTGCGCGACGGCGACGGTGTGCGGAACAGAGACTTGCTGCGTGCGACGGCGTGCGGAACGGCGAAGCTGCTGCTTGCTGCTGCTGCCTTGGACAAGTCACTTTCAGCCTCGACGCTTCTCCTTAGCTAAGTTTCCTCTACGCACCCCCCATCCACCATCGCTTCCCATCCGTCTCTTTCATTTTTGGAAATTCTCAATCCATGTTTGTCTCTTGGCGCATGGTGGTGGTGGTCCGTGGTGCTATGGCAGCAGAGCTCAAGTGGAGTGCAGGTAGTGAGAGTGGTGGGATAGAGTAGTGGAGAGGGAGTGCATTCATGCCATGCGTGCGTCCCCCAGTCCCCCCTCGCTGGCTCAGCTCGCTGCTCTAGTGCTGTGGGCCACTGTCGCCATGCGCCTTCCCCGTTCCCCCTCCCCTCCCTCCCCCTCCTTCCCCCTCCCTCAACTCAATTTTCGCTTGCGTTTAAGTTTCGAGTTTCTCACTCTTGCTCTCCACTGCTTCTGCTCTATTGCCCACCTTGACCTGCTTTCTTCCCACATCTGAGTTTCTGCCTCCAATGTTACCCTGTTCCTTGCTGTGCTTTCTGCTGCACTCATTCAGAATTTATTGACTGACCTCTTCCCGAGGCTGATCCTTATTCTGCACGACGGCGACGGTGTGCGGAACAGAGACTTGCTGCGTGCGACGGCGTGCGGAACGGCGAAGCTGCTGCTTGCTGCTGCCTCCTTGGACGAGTCACTTTCAGCCTCGACGCTTCTCCTTAGCTAAGTGTCCTCTACGCACCCCCCATCCACCATCGCTTCCCAGCCGTCTCTTTCATTTTTGGAAAATTTCAAGGCGCATTCGTCTCTTGGCGCATGGTGGTGGTGGTCCGTGGTGCTATGGCAGCAGAGCTCATGTAGAGTGCAGTGTAGTGGGAGTGGTGGGATAGAGTAGTGGAGAGGGAGTGCATTCATGCCATGCGTGCGTCCCCCAGTCCCCCCTCGCTGGCTCAGCTCGCTGCTCTAGTGCTGTGGGCCACTGTCGCCATGCGCCTTCCCCGTTCCCCCTCCCCTACCCCCCACTCCTTCCCCTCCCTCAACCTAAATTTCGCTTACGTTTAAGTTTCGAGTTTCTCAGTCTTGCTTTCCACTGCTTCTGCTCTATTGCCCACCTTGACCTGCTTTCGTCCCACATCTGAGTTTCTGCCTCCAATGTTACCCTGTTCCTTGCTGTGCTTTCTGCTGCACTCATTCAGAATTTATTGACTGACCTCTTCCCGAGGCTGATCCTTCTTCTGCGCGACGGCGACGGTGTGCAGAACAGAGACTTGCTGCGTGCGACGGGGTGCGGGACGTCAAAGCTGCTGCTTGCTGCTGCTGCCTTGGTCGAGTCACTCTCAGCCTCGACGCTTCTCCTTAGCTAAGTTTCCGCTACGCACCCGCCATCCACCATCGCTTCCCATCCGTCTCTTTCATTTTTGGAAATTCTCAAGCCATGTTTGTCTCTTGGCGCATGGTGGTGGTGGTCCGTGGTGCTATGGCAGCAGAGCTCATGTAGAGTGCAGTGTAGTGGGAGTGGTGGGATAGAGTAGTGGAGAGGGAGTGCATTCATGCCATGCGTGCGTCCCCCAGTCCCCCCTCGCTGGCTCAGCTCGCTGCTCTAGTGCTGTGGGCCACTGTCGCCATGCGCCTTCCCCGTTTTCCGTCCGCCCCCCTCCCACCACTCAAGTATCGAGTTTCTCACTCTTGCTCTCTACTGCTTCTGCTCTACTGGCCACTTTGACCTGCTTATATCCCATATTTGACTCCAATGCTCCATTCCTTGCTGCGCTTTCGGTTGCACTCATTTCCAGTTCATTGCCTTCCCTCTGCCCTCTACCCTCTGCCCTCTGCCCTGCCCTATGCCCTCTGCCCTATCTGCCAACTGCCTGATTGCTCTCCGTACTGCACTCACTGCGATTTTCCCCTTCTGAAGTGTTTACTGGGAGTGGAGGTTCAGGGAAGCGTTTTCCCTCCCACCCTCTTGTCATTTTCTCTGGTTGACGTGTCATTTTCATGTTGTTGCCTTTGCCCATCCCTTCTCCCCGCGTCCCTTTTTCTTTTCCCTCCTTTCCTCGTCCCTTTTTCCTTGTCCTTATGTCTTCTCCTTGTCTCCTCGCCCTCACAACCCCCCAGAGCAGCGGCGCCTCTCCCTCACATTCCCCAAGAGCAGCGGCGCCTCTCCGTCACAACCCCCCAGAGCAGCGGCGCCTCTTCCTCACAGCCCCCCAGAGCAGCGGCGCCTCTTCCTCACAGCCCCCCAGAGCAGCGGCGTTCCATATGCGATGGTGTGCACAAGGTAGCAGCCAACCAACCGACGGTGTGTGGATGATGGAGTCGAGCCGCATGGGACGCTGCTGCTTGCTGCTGTCTCCCTGCTGCTTTTTCGCTGTGCTCCATTTTCAAGTTTCTCAATGCTCGCTCTTCACTGCTTCTGCTCTATTGCCACCTTGACATTCTTGCTGCTCCCATTCATTTCAAGTTCCGAGGCCGATCCTTTTCCTTCGCATCTCCTTCTCCCTGTGCCTTGTCCCCCTCTGGCCTCAGGGCAAATGGAGTGCAGGGGGCAGAGCCGCACAGCGCTGGCTGCAGCAGCATGGCAGTCAACGCCAGTCAACGCCAGTCAACGCCAGTCAATGCCAGTCCTCGAAACCCACGCCCATGCGATTGCTGTCCTTATGGTATGATATGCATCACTTTCACCGCACCCCGCCCTCTCCTTCGCTCCTCCATTCCATTGCATGTTCCCCAATGTTTCAAGTTTCTCGTTTTTGCTCTCCACTGCTCTAGGGCTCACCTTGACCTGCTTTCTGCCCGAATCTGAGTTGCTGCTTCCAATGCTTTCCCATTCCTTGTCATGCTTGCTACTTCATTCAGTCTGAGTTCATTGCCTGACCTCAACTGCATTGCTCGCGCCCTCAGCTGCGTTGCTCAAGCCCTCAGCTGCGTTGCTCGCACCCTCAGCTGCGTTGCTCGCGCCCTCAGCTGCGTTGCTCGCGCCCTCTGCTGCGTTGCTCGCGCCCTCAGCTGCGTTGCTCGCTTCCACAGCAGCGTTGCTCGCGCCCTCAGCTGCGTTGCTCGCGCCCTCAGCTGCGTTGCTCGCGCCCTCAGCTGCGTTGCTCGCGCCCTCAGCTGCGTTGCTCGCGCCCTCAGCTGCGTTGCTCGCGCCCTCAGCTGCGTTGCTCGCGCCCTCAGCTGCGTTGCTCGCGCCCTCAGCTGCGTTGCTCGCGCCCTCAGCTGCGTTGCTCGCGCCCTCTACTTCTCCATTCCCGCATTTCATCTGCTCACTCCTTCCCTTCTGTCTATTGCTGCTGGCTGCTCTATCTGCTATGTTGCCCGGTTCCTATTCATACTGCACTCAAAGTGATTTCCCCTCAATAAGGTGTTCAATGGGAGTGGAGGTTCAGGGAAGTGTTTTTCCTCCCACCGTCTTGTCATTTTCTCTGGTCGACTTGTCATTTTCATGTTGTTGCCTTTGCCCTTCCCTTCTTCCTCACCCCTTTTTCCTTTCCCTCATTTCCTCGTCCCTTTCCTTGTACCTTTTATGCCTCTGAAAGGCCTCCCTTAGCAACCAACGCATTTCCTATAACATTGTTTCTCCTCCATTTTGCTAGCAGGGAAAAAGATTCAGGGAGCACCGCCAACACCAGCAGCCATGCTAACAACACCGACAACAAGCAGCAACAGCTGCAGCAGCAATGGCAGCATCGGTGGCGATGGCAAGCCATGGAACGTTTTGGGGCATAGCAGTTTGAGCATGGAAGCAAAGTCAACACCAGCCACTTCCGCTACCGGCTAAGTACCGCTCTCTCAAACTCTTTCCGCTTCTCCAATTGCCCCTGCCCTGCCTTCTACTCCCCCTCTACCACTCTCTCCCCGCGGTTTTTCTCCCATCCCCGCATTTTGTCGTTGCTTGCTCTTTCGATTCCTCCACCTCCTTCCCATCCGCCTCATTCCCATCCGCCTCCTTCCCATCCGCCTCCTTCCCATCCGCCTCCTTCCCATCCGCCTCATTCCCATCCGCCTCCTTCCCATCCGCCTCATTCCCACTCGCCATGCGCCTCCCCCTTTCCCCCCTCCTCCCCCCTCCTATTCTCGCTGTGCACACTTACCAGGCAACTTCATGTTTCCCAATGTTCGTGGTTCCACGCCATACTTGCTGCTTCATTCACTCCGACTTCATTGCCTGCCCTCTGCCCTAAGCAAATCCACTTGCGTCTCCTTCTCGCCGTGCCTTCTCCCCCATCCGTCCTCTGGCCAAAGGGCGAATGGAATGCAGGCAGCAGAGCAAAAGGGCGGTGGCTGCAGCAGCATGGCAGTCCTCATCACCCACGCCCATGCTATCGCTGCCATTATGGTACGATATGCATCGTTCAACTGCACTGCATCCGCACCGCACCATCCTTTGCTCTTCCATTAGACTGCACCCGTTCTCTCATTCGCTTCTTCATTTCACTGCGCCCGCTCTCCCCTCAACCCTTCACGTTCTGTCGATTGCTGCTGGCTTGCACTGGCAACTTTGGTTGCTTCTCGTGCTTGCACTCACTGTGTGTGGCTCCCTGTGGTACAGGGCGTGCTGGCTCTACATTCTGCACAAGCCTTGCTGTTCCAAGGGGAGGCAGCAGAGGGAGGAGGCACTTGGAAGGCGGCAGTGGGATGATGCAGAGCAGCGGCGCCCTGCCCTCACAGCCCCCCAGAGCAGCGGCGCCTCTCCCTCACAACCCCCCAGAGCAACGGCGCCTCTCCCTCACAACCCCCCAGAGCAGCGGCGCCTCTCCCTCACAGCCCCCCAGAGCAGCGGAGCCTCTCCCTCACAGCCCCCCAGAGCAGCGGCGCCTCTCCCTCACAGCCCCCCAGAGCAGGGGCGCCTCTCACTCAGCCCCCCAGAGCAGGGGCGCCTCTCCCTCACAGCCCCCCAGAGCAGGGGCGCCTCTCCCTCACAGCCCCCCAGAGCAGGGGCGCCTCTCCCTCACAGCCCCCCAGAGCAGCGGCGCCTCTCCCTCACAGCCCCCCAGAGCAGCGGCGCCTCTCCTTCACAGCCCCCCAGAACATGGGCGCCTCTCCCTCACAGACCCCTAGAGCAGGGGCGCCTCTCCCTCACAGCCCCCCAGAGCAGGGGCGCCTCTCCCTCACAGCCCCCCAGAGCAGCGGCGCCTCTCCCTCACAGCCCCCCAGAGCAGCGGCGCCTCTCCCTCACAGCCCCCCAGAGCAGGGGCGCGTCTCCCTCACAGCCCCCCAGAGCAGGGGCGCCTCTCCCTCACAGGCCCCCAGAGCAGGGGCGCCTCTCCCTCACAGGCCCCCAGAGCAGGGGCGCCTCTCCCTCACAGGACCCCAGAGCAGGGGCGCCTCTCCCTCACAGCCCACCAGAGCAGTGGCGCCTCTCCCTCACAGCCCCACAGATCAGGGGCGCCTCCTCCTCACAGCCCCCCAGAGCAGCGGCGCCTCTCCCTCACAGCCCCCCAGAGCAGCGGCGCCTCTCCCTCACAGCCCCCAAGAGCAGGGGCGCCTCTCCCTCACAGCCCCCCAGAGCAGCGGCGCCTCTCCCTCACAGCCCCCAAGAGCACGGGCGCCTCTCCCTCACAGCCAGAGCAGGGGTGCCTCTCCCTCACAGCCCCCCAGAGCAGGGGCGCCTCTCCCTCACAGCCCCCCGGAGCAGGGGCGCCTGCTCCTCAGCCCCGCGGGGCAGGGGCGCCCCCTCCTCACAGCCCCCTAGAGCAGCGGCGCCTCCTCCTCACAGCCCCCCAGAGCAGGGGCGCCTCCTCCTCACAGCCCCCCAGAGCAGGGGAGCCTCTCCCTCACGGCCCCCCAGAGCAAGGGCGCCTCTCCCTCACAGCCCCCCAGAGCAGGGGCGCCTCTCCCTCACAGCCCCCCAGAGCAGGGGCGCCTCTCCCTCACAGGCCCCCAGAGCAGGGGCGCCTCTCCCTCACAGGCCCCCAGAGCAGCGGCGCCTCTCCCTCACAGCTCCCCAGAGCAGCGGCGCCTCTCCCTCACAGCCCCACAGAGCAGGGGCGCCTCCTCCTCACAGCCCTCCAGAGCAGCGGCGCCTTTCCCTCACAGGCCCCCAGAGCAGCGGCGCCTCTCCCTCACAGCCCCCCAGAGCAGCGGCGCCTCCTCCTCACAGCCCCCCAGAGCAGGGGAGCCTCTCCCTCACAGCCCCCCAGAGCAGCGGCGCCTCTTCCTCACAGCCCCCCAGAGCAGCGGCGCCTCTCCCTCACAGCCCCCCAGAGCAGCGGCGCCTCCTCTTCACAGCCCCCCAGAGAAGCGGCGCCTCCTCCTCACAGCCCCCCAGAGCAGGGGCGCCTCTCCCTCACAGCCCCCCAGAGCAGCGGCGCCTCTCCCTCACAGCCCCCCAGAGCAGGGGCGCCTCTCCCTCACAGCCCCCCAGAGCAGGGGCGCCTCTCCCTCACAGCCCCCCAGAGCAGCGGCGCCTCCTCCTCACAGCCCCCCAGAGCAGCGGCGCTTCGCCCTCACAGCCCCCCAGAGCAGCGGCGCCTCTCTCTCACAGCCCCCCCAGAGCAGGGGCGCCTCTCCCTCACAGGCCCCCAGAGCAGGGGCGCCTCTCCCTCACAGCCCCCCAGAGCAGGGGCGCCTCTCCCTCACAGGCCCCCAGAGCAGGGGCGCCTCTCCCTCACAGGCCCCCAGAGCAGCGGCGCCTCTCCCTCACAGCCCCCCAGAGCAGCGGCGCCTCGCCCTCACAGCCCCCCAGAGCAGGGGCGCCTCGCCCTCACAGCCCCCCAGAGCAGGGGCGCCTCTCCCTCACAGCCCCCCAGAGCAGCGGCGCCTCCTCCTCACAGCTCCTCAGAGCAGCGGCGCCTCTCCCTCACAGCCCCCCAGAACATGGGCGCCTCCTCCTCACAGCCCCCCAGAGCAGCGACGCCTCTCCCTCACAGCCCCCCAGAGCAGGGGCGCCTCTCCCTCACAGCCCCCCAGAGCAGGGGCGCCTCTCCCGCACAGGCCCCCAGAGCAGGAGCGCCTCTCCCACACAGCCCCCCAGAGCAGGGGCGCCTCTCCCTCACAGCCCCCCAGAGCAGGGGCGCCTCACCCTCACAGCCCCCCAGAGCAGGGGCGCCTCGCCCTCACATCCCCCCAGAGCAGGGGCGCCTCGCCCTCACAGCCCCCCAGAGCAGGGGCGCCTCGCCCTCACAGCCCCCCAGAGCAGGGGCGCCTCGCCCTCACAGCCCCCCAGAGCAGGGGCGCCTCTCCCTCACAGCCCCCCAGAGCAGCGGCGCCTCTCCCTCACAGCCCCCCAGAGCAGCGGCGCCTCTCCCTCACAGCCCCCCAGAGCAGCGGCGCCTCTCCCTCACAGCCCCCCAGAGCAGCGGCGCCTCTCCCTCACAGCCCCCCAGAGCAGCGGCGCCTCTCCCTCACAGCCCCCCATAGCAGGGGCGCCTCTCCCTCACAGCCCCCCAGAGCAGGGGCGCCTCTCCCTCACAGCCCCCCAGAGCAGGGGCGCCTCTCCCTCACAGCCCCCCAGAGCAGGGGCGCCTCTCCCTCACAGCCCCCCAGAGCAGGGGCGCCTCTCCCTCACAGCCCCCAGAACAGTGGCGCCTCTCCCTCACAGCCCCCCAGAGCAGCGGCGCCTCTCCCTCACAGCCCCCCAGAGCAGCAAAGCTCCCTCCTCAGAGCTCCCCAGAGCAGCGACGCCTCCTCCTCACAGCCCCCCAGAGCAGGGGCGCCTGTCCTTCACAGCCCCCCAGAGCAGGGGCGCCTCTCCCTCACAGCCCCCCAGAGCAGGGGCGCCTCTCCCGCACAGCCCCCCAGAGCAGGGGTGCCTCTCCCTCACAGCCCCCCAGAGCAGGGGCGCCTCTCCCTCACAGCCCCCCAGAGCAGGGGCGCCTCTCCCTCACAGCCCCTCAGAGCAGGGGCGCCTCTCCCTCACAGCCCCCCAGAGCAGGGGCGCCTCTCCCTCACAGCCCCCGAGAGCAGGGGCGCCTCTCCCGCACACCCCACAGTCCCATCCCACAGTCCCACCCCACAGTCCCACGCCACAGTCCCACCCCACAGTCCCATCCCACAGTCCCACCCCACAGTCCCATCCCACAGTCCCATCCCACAGTCCAACTCCACAGTCCCACCCCACAGTCCCACCCCACAGTTCCACCCCACAGTCCCATCCCACAGTCCCCTCCCACAGTCCCACCCCACAGTCCCATCCCACAGTCCAACTCCACTGTCCCACCCCACAGTCCTATCCCACAGTCCCACCCCACAGTCCCATACCACAGTCCCACCCCACAGTCCCATCCCACAGTCCCATCCCACAGTCCCATCTCACAGTCCCATCCCACAGTCCCACCCCACAGTCCCACCCCACAGTCCCACTCCACAGTCCCACCCCACAGTCCCATCCCACAGTCCCATCCCACAGTCCCATCCCACAGTCCCACCCCACAGTCCGACCCCACAGTCCCACCCCACAATCCCACTCCACAGTCCCACCCCACAGTCCCATCCCACAGTCCCACTCCACAGTACCATCCCACAGTCCCATCCCACAGTCCCATCCCACAGTCCCATTCACAGTCCCATCCCACAGTCCCATCCCACAGTCCCATCCCGTAGTCCCATACCACAGTTCATGGTTTCCTGCTACCGCTTTGCATGGGGCTGTGTTTGAGAGGGCTGAGAGGGCTGGCGGGCTGGCGTGCTGGCGGACCGGTGCCCTTTCACAAGATTTAGACCTGAGACCTCCTTTACCAATGGTATTATTTACAATATGTGTTACATGAACATGAATCTCGTATGGAAGGTCACTCAAACATAGTGTGTCTCGACATAACTACTCGTGCTGGATTGAATGACAATGCTGTGGTCTTGTGGAATGACCCAGAAGGAAAGGCCCTTCATTATGAAATGACAAAAAAGAAAGCTAATTTTGATGCTTTCTTTTAGTTCTAAGGATCCATATCGACCAAATCCAAAGTACGTAAAATTTAGAGTATTATGTGAAGATGAAACCCATATTGGTCTGGAAGATAGTATCCTTTATACCGTGGTTGGTTATCGATGCAAATAAATGAATATGTTGAATTTAGTGGGTGGAAGTGGAGTACATTCTTGTAAGCCTTAGGGAAAGTGTAGTTGGACCTCATTCTTATTACAGCCTTCTGACGAACTTGCTCGCCCTTTCTGACAAGCCCAAGGCTGGGGGGCATGTCAGATCTGCCAATTCTCGAGAGTCCACCAACATCCAGAATCTCAGCATGTGGAAGACAATGGAGCTACTATAATCCTCGCCTCCCTTCCCATGGCATCCTATTTCGTCTTTCTCGAATTCTTATTTTCTTTCGGTGGACCGTAGGACAGTAGGGTAGCCATGCCGCCGATCGCGCGAAAGAAGAAACCGGGGGGAGGAGGTCTTGGCGCAGTCAGGCTGAGCGCCAAGCCTCTCACGACGTGGTCAGATGGATCGGGAGCGACAGACGCGTCCACTGGATTCGCACATCAAGACCCTCCTGCTCCTGCCGCGCAGCTCGAATCTCCTCAGTCCGTGCCTCGCGGATCTCACGCTGCGTCGCACGCTCTGCCTGCTGCGATCGATGGCAGTCAAGCAACCCGAACCCATTCCACCGTCGCATCTCAACCGTCGGATTCACATCGGCAACCGTCGATCCGGGACGTGCATCCGGCAGATCCGCTTGACGTTTTGCTGCCGGAATCCGCGAAGCAGCATCTGCTTGCAGCGACGGACCCCGCACACCCTCCACACGCAACTGCTAGGGGAGGAGCAATAGCTGTTTCCAAGAAAGGAATTTCGCAATCGGTCGCAGCGACATCTATCGTTGCTCCTGCTAGCAGATCGTCAACCGCACAGCTTCAACCCTCCACCGCGACATCGTCGCAAGGGCAAGGCGCGGTTCCTCCCGCGTTTGCTCCCGCTCCCCGCGCTGCAGCTTCCGCTCCGCACGGCCCGTCGTCGTCTGCCGCGAGTGGCGCGGCCGCGCCGATTAAGATCATCGGGCTCTCCGGCAAGTCGTCGCGTTCGTCGCTCGTTAAAGGCAAGCCGCTGGTCGCTCGTTCCGCGATCACTCCCTCTCCCGCTGTAACCCATAATGCTGCCAACAACGCTCCTGCCACCGCGGCTAGCAGCAGCAGCAGCAGCGGCAGAAGTGTCAGCCTGTCTACTCTCACTGGTGCTCCTTCCGTCGCATCTATCCCCGCTAATGGCATTCCCGCTGCAACGCCAGCACCTTCGGTTACACCCGTTGCGCTTACGAATTCTTCTGCTCTGTCGAATCACGCGGAGCCTGCAGCGAGTCCTTTTCTTGGCTTCGACGACGCGAACGATCTGGGCGCGGATGCTTCACGCGCACCTACTCGCCCCGCCTCGTCCTCCGCCGCGGTCCCCGCGCCTCTCCTCCCCCCCGCGGCAGTGCCGTTCTTTGACTCCCCGCTCGCCTCAGCCGCACCTGCGCCACCCTTTCCCCTCGCACCAGCATCCCCCACCTCGTCCTGCTCCTCCACCTCCTCCTCCTCCGCGCCCGCCGTGCGCAAGCTAACGTCCCCTCGGCTGGGAGGCAAACCCGCAGGCAAAGGCAGGCTGCTGGGGGCCGTGCCCAGACGGCTGTCCGCGCCGCAGCTGAGTGCTGCGAGCAGTGGCGGCGGGCCTGGCGGTGAGAAGCAGACGCAGGCGGCGGAGGAGCAGCAGGCGAGGGATGCGCAGATGGAGCAGGCGAGGGAGCGGGAGAAGCAGCGGCAAATGGAGGAAGAGAGTCGGAAAGAGCGCGAGCAACAGGAGCGCGAGCGGTTGGAGCAGTTGCGGATGGAAGAGGAGAGGAGGGAGAGGGAGAGGTTGGAAGAGGAGCGGAGGGAGAAGGAGAGGAAGGAGAAGGAGCGACAGGAGCAGCTTAGGGTTGAGCGGGAGAGGAAGGAGAAGGAGCGGCTTGAGCGGCTTAGAGCAGAGCAAGAGAGGAAGGAAAGGGAGAGGGAGGCGCAGCTGAAAGCCGAGCAGGAGAGGAAGGAAAAGGAGAGGCTTGAGCGACTGAGAGAAGAGCAGGAGAGGAAGGAGAAAGAAGTATTGGAGCAGCAACGACTGGAGCAGCTTAGGTTGGAGCAGGAGAGGGAGGAAAGGGAGCGGCTGGAAGTGTTGCAGAAGGAAGAGGAAAGGCGGGAGAAGGAGAAGCAAGAGCAGTTAAGAATCGAGCGTGAAAAGAAGGAGAGAGAGGAACAAGCGAGGCTGCAGAAGGAGCAGGAGAAGAAAGCGAAGGAAATGCAAGAACGGATGGAGAAGGAACGATTGGAGAAGGAGCGATTGGAGAAGGAGAAGAGAGAGGAGAGGGAGCGAGAGGAGAAGGTAAGGAAAGAGCTAGAGAGAAAGCAGAAGGAGGAACAGGAGCAGCAGAGGCGGAAGGAAAGGGAGCGGAAAGAGAAGCTGAAGGCAGATAGAGAACGGGTAGAGCGGGAACAGCGGGAGCAGAAGCGGATTGAGGAAGAGAAGAAGGAGCAGGAGAGGCGCAAGGAGCAGCAACGAAAAGAAAGGGAGCGGCAGGAGGGATTAAGGAAGGAAGAGGAACGGAAGGAGCGGGAACGGCAAGAGTGGCTCCGGCGAGAGGAAGAGAGGAAGAAGAAGGAGCGGCAGGAGCAGTTGCGACGAGAGCGAGAGAGGAGGGAGCAGGAGAGGCAGGAGCGTCTAGAGCAGCAGCGCAGGGAGCGCGAGCAGAAGGAGCGCGAGAGGCAGGAGATGGAGCGCAAAGAGAGAGAGAGGCAGGCGGAGGAGCAGGCGCAGGAGGTGAGAAAGCAGCGCACAAGGCCCGCTGCTCAAGGCAGTGGGCTGGCAGGCAGCGCGTGGGCGAACGGGCAGGGAGGCCTGGCGGGGTATGCTGCGGAGAGTGGCGCCAAGGTGGGTCGCACTCATGCTGACGTGGCTGCCGGCGCGGCTGCACGGCTGGCTGCAGGCGAGGAGGCCAGCGGCGAGCGGCGGAAGGGGCAGAGCAAGAAGGGCGGGGGCGGTGGGCACGGCGAGGGCTGGGCGGGAGAGGGGGACGGGTGGGGGAGCATAGACGAGGGTGATGACTGGGGGATCGTGGACAGATTCATGGCGGAGAGGCCCATGGGGGAGCGCGCGTATGCGCGCACCAGCAGCTTCCAGGGCGTTGGATCCGCTGCCATGAGCGGAGAGGCGGGCGCGCAGGGGGGGAGGCAGCACGGGGACGGGTGGGGAGGCCTGGGCGGAGATGCGTGGGGCGGGTTCGGGGTGGGGGGAGTGGGCGCGCGCATGGCGCGGCCGGCGACAGCGGGGGGGCGGAGGGAGGGCGCGTGGCCGCTGCTGGGTTCGCTGGTGAAGGCGGCGTCTGATGTGTCCGCGTGGTCGTCTGACGTGCTGCTGACGGCGCAACCCGGGGAGGACGCGGGGGAAGACGCGGGGGATGGCGCAGGCGCAGGCAGGAAGGGCGTGCAGGGTGGGCAGGATGGGCAGGGGATGGTGGGCGCGGGGGAAGATGTGAAAGAGGGCGCGGGCGTGGGTGGAGCTGTTTGCGGGCGGGGAGGGGACAGTGTGGGGGAGGACAAGGAGAGCAATGAGAGCAAGATTCGCAGCCTGTTTGACAAGGCTGGCGCAGGGCGCGAGGGCCCCGGCGCTAAGCTGGGCTCGCAGGTCATCAACCAAGGTGGGCTGAGTGGCCTCGTTGCCTGTGGGGCTTGGCATGTGTGCACGGCATGGCACAGTGCATGTGGGAATGTGCCATTGTGCGTTTGTGAATGAATGTGTGATCGTGCATGGGTGAGCGTGAGCATGCATGTGAGCTCATTCACTGCACTGCAATTGACACCAGTCCCAGCAGCACAACTACCTACCAACAGAACATGTCCAACGCGCCCCTTTCCCGTGCCCCCTGTGCAGGCGCGTTGGCCCTCAAGGGTCTCGCCATGCCCGTGCTCTCCATGCTGGGTGGCACCGCTGCTGACCCAGCCACTGCCGCCGATACTGCACCTGCTGCTGCTGCTGATGGCCCCAAGCCCACTTGGGGTGCGCCCAGCGCAGCTGGCTTTGCCTCTTGGATGGGCGGAGGGGACGAGGGTGGCGAAGGCGGGGCAGAGGCTGGGGCAGAAGTGGGGGCTAGCGTCAGGGAGAAAGGAGGAGCGGGGGGGAGGAAGCAGCTGGGGTGGGAGGATCTGGTGAGCATGGACTTCGGGGGCGTGGGGGAGGACGCGGACGATGGGGGCGCGGATGGGGGGGCGTCGGGCGAGGTGGGTGTGCTGGCCATGCTGCAGAGGGGACTGGCAGACGAGGAGGAGGAAGAGGAAGAGGAAGAGGAAGAGGATGATGTGATGGCAGCGCTGGCGAGCAGTAGTGCAGTGCGGCTGGGGGGACCCATGGTGGCGTCGGTGGCGTCAGCAGTGTCGGCTGCTGCCTCCCGCCTGCTCAAGGCCACTGCCAGTGAGGAGGACGCTGCAGCGTTCTTTGCTGCTGTGGACCGGGATGCTGTCCGCCCTGCCGCGCCTGCCCCGCCCGCTGCTGCTGCTGCTGCTGCTGCTGCTGCTGCCGCCCTTCCAGAGCACACGCCACAGCTGCTGCCACGTGCAGATGATGATGGCTCAGGATTGGCGGCATCTGGCTCTGCTAGGGTTGTGGAGGGTGGTGCTGGCGTGGGTGGGGGAAAGAGTGGGGTGGAGGGCGGGCAGATGGAGGAGCGAGAAGAGGAGGATGCGGCGGCTTGGTTTATGTCTGCTGATGCTGATGGCGATGCTGATGCTGGTGCTGGTACTGTTACTGGTACTGGTACTGGTGCTGGTGCTGGTACTGGTACTGGTGCTGATGCTGGTGCTGGTACTGGCACTGTTGAAGCTGACCTGGTTGACGGTGTGGATGGGCAGGGGGAAACCACGGCTCCTGGTGTTGGTTCCGATGCCACCGCACTTGATACAGCCATGGAGGGAGGTGATGAGGGGACCGGTGGAGCGATGGTAAGTGGAGATGGCGTGGAAGGGGGAGAAGGGCAGTGGAGTGGAGCAGGTGAGCAGAAGATGGCTGTGGAGGGCGGGGAGGCGGGGCAGGAGGGGCAGGCGTGGCAGGGGTATCAAGACGGCCAGGCTGGATGGCAGCACGCGAGTCGGGGCGAGGGGCAGTATGGCGGGCAGGTGGAAGGCCAGTTTGAGGGGCAGGGGGAGGGGCAGTATGGGGGGCAGGGGGAGGGGCAGTATGGGGGGCAGGGGGAGGGGCAGTATGGGGGGCAGGGGGAGGGGCAGTATGGGGGGCAGGGGGAGGGGCAGTATGGGGGGCAGGGGGAGGGGCAGTATGGGGGGCAGGGGGAGGGGCAGTATGGGGGGCAGGGGGAGGGGCAGTACGCAGGACAGGGGGAGTTGACAGCGGAACAGTGGGAGGAGCAGCAGCGGCAGTGGGCAGAGGCTTACCCTGGCTGGTACTGGGACTATGCAGCAGGCGAGTGGAGGCAGATCGAGGGCTATGTGCCACCTGCTGCTGCTGACACCGCTGCTGTAGCAGATGCCACTGCTGCTGCACAAGCAGATCCTGCAGCAGTAGCAGCAGCAGGCGACGCTACAGCAGCAGGCGCCACGGAGCATGCAGTAACGGAGGCAGTGTCATTAGAGCAAGTTCCTCCCCAAGCAGAAGCAGCAGCGGGTGAGGCGGCCGTTGCTGAGGCGTCAGCCGCTTGGTCTGACGCCCCACAGGCAGAGGCGTGGCAAGGGGCAGACGAGGCGGTGGCGGGTGGGTGGGATGGAGCAGAGGAGATGCATGCAGAGGAGATGACGGATGTGGCACATCAGGTTGGGATAGCCGCGGGAGAGTCAGCTGACGCTCTGCCACCTGCCCCTGCCGCTGGTTCATCTGAGTTTCAGCCGGTGCTGATGGCAGAAGGTGAACAAAGCAAGGAGCAGGCAGAGAGCAGTGTGCAGGAGGGGGTTACAGGAGAGGGCGGGGGTGAGCAGCTGCCGAGCAGTCCTGCTCTTCAGCCCCTCTCCTTCGATGCCGCTCCTCCTCTGCCTCTCCTTCCTGACTCCCAGCCCACCGTTCCCCCTCTCTCCTCTGAGCTCACACAAGCTGGTGCGGGGATGGATAGCGGGGAGGAGCTGCGTGTGTGTGAGGGAGGCGAGGCAGGGAGGGCGGAGGTTGCACAGGAACATGCTGCAGAGACAGACGCAGCAGGTATGGAAGTGGGGAGTGCGGGTGGTGTGGGCGAGGGTGGGCATGGTGCAGTTGACGCCGAGGGAGGCGAGGGGCAGGGGGATGCTGACGTGCGGATGGGGGAGGAGGGGCAGATTGTCAGTGAAGCCGCTTGGGAGGTCCAGCAGCAGGAGGGGCAGCAGCAGGCGGAGGGCCAGGGCGTAGAGGCAGCGACAGTTGGTGAGTCGGGGGTTATTGCAACGGAGTACCCAGGGTGGGTGGTGGATGCTGTGACAGGCGAGTGGCGGCAGGTGGGCGAGGCGGCGCCAGCAGCAGCAGATGGGGCTGGCGGTGCGGAGGGCAGCAGCAGCACAGCAGCAGCAGGGGAGGCCATCGCGCTGCAGTACCCCGGATGGCGCTGGGATGGCCTGCTGGGCCAGTGGGTGCCCGATGACCAGGCAGATGCTGCCGCCCCTGCTGCTGCTGTTGCTGCGGATGGGGCTGAAGCTGCTCTGGATTCAACTGACGCTGTTGCTGGAGCGGCGTTAGCAGTAGATGCTATAGCAGCGGAGGCTGTAGCAGCGGAGGCTGTAGCTGGAGGCGCAGAAACGTCAGTTGCTTCTTCAGGCGAGCCTATTGACGGGGAGCAGCAGTGGGTCCTGGGGGCAGAAGGAAGGGAGGCTGTAGCTCCAATGGGGAAGGGGTCGGAGTGGATGGGAGCAGGCGAGGGAGAGGTGGTGGATGCAGCAGGGAGCGAGGAGGGCATGGGGGCAGCAACAGAGGCAATGAACGGTGCAGCAGCAGAGGGTGCAGAGGGCAACGGTAGTCAGAGTGAGGCAGTTCCAACGCAGCTCGCGTTGCAGTACCCCGGGTGGCGCTGGGATGGCCTGCTGGGCCAGTGGGTGCCGGATGACCAGCCAGATGCTGCTGCTGCGGCAGGTGCTGCAGATGGGTCTGAAGCTGCTCCGGACTTGGCTGATGCTGCTGCTGGAACGGCGTTAGCAGTAGAGGCTGTAGCAGCGGAGGCTGTAGCAGCGGAGGCTGTAGCTGAAAGCGCAGAAGCGGCAGTTGCTGCATCAGGTGAACCCATTGCGGTTGAGCAGCAGTGGGTCCTGGGGCAAGAAGCAAGGCAGCCTGTAGCCCAGGGGTCGGAGTGGATGGAAGCAGGAGAAGGAGAGGCGGTTGATGCAGCAGCGGGAGAGGAGGGCATGGGGCTTGCACCACCAGAGGCAATGGGCGGTGCAGCAGCAGGGGGTGCAGGGGGTGACGATAGTCAGAGTGAGGCAGTCTCAACGCAGATAGTGGATTCAGCTGAGGGTGCGGTTGAGGATCCCTTAGGGAATTCAGCAGAATTTCTAAGGGCAGAGGAGCAAGTGTTGCCAGCAGGTGTAAAAGCAATGGAGGCAAAGGGTTGGGAGGCAGACGATGCAGGCAGTGATGCAACAGCAGCGGGTGCAGTGGAGAGTTCATTCGCGGAGGGTACGGAGACAGCAGCAAGTGAGGTGATTGCAACGCAGTACCCTGGGTGGGAGTGGGATGCTGTGGCGGGCCAGTGGGTGTTCACAGGCCAGCAGCCCGCTGTCGCTGCGGACTCTGCTGCTGCTGGCTTCACTGCTGCTGGCGACATGGGCGAGACTGTGGCTCTGGTAGGGGCGGAAGAAGTGGCGGTAGGTAGTGAAGCAGGGGGCGCAGCAGCCGTGGTAGCAGGGGAGGGATGGCCTGAGAGCGAGGTGAGTGGGGCAGCGGTAGAGTGGGCGGCGGAGGCGGTTGAGGGAGGCGTTGAGGGGTCGTTTGTGGGGTTTGAGGGCGAGGGGCAGGTGGTGAGTGAGGCAGGGGGGGAGGCGATAGAGGGGCAGGCAGGTAGTGCAGGAGGGGAGGCAGATGGATTTGTGGATAGCGGTGTTGAGGCTGCGACTGAAGCTGAGGTCAGTGCTCCAGAGGTGGATGAGGTTTCGGAGGTAGTTGGAGGGGCAGAAGAGGGAGAGGGAGAGCAGCAGGTAGGGGAAGAAGCTGTGGAGGGGTGGACAGACGGGCTGCAGCAGGGAGAGTCGAAGGCGCTGGATGCAGGGGCAGATTCAGAACGTGCAGCAGCAGGTGCTGCTGCTGCTGCCAGTGTGGCTGCTGAGGAGATGGCAGGTGGAGTGACAGCAGAGGCAGACGGTGCTTCTGTGGAGCCCTTGTGGGCTGACGCAGGTCCTGTGGAGGGAACCCATGGTGAGGCGCTGGGGGCGGACGCAGGTGGTGCAGAGGAGGCAGTGGGAGAGGGCGGTGGAGGGATGGCAGCAGTGATGGCGGCAGAGGTAGAGGGTGCGGAGGCAGCAGGGTATGAGGCGATAGCAACGCAGTACCCTGGATGGATGTGGGACCCTCTCACGGGCCAGTGGGTGCCCACAGACGAGCAGCCCGCTGTAGCAGAGGCGGCTGGTGCTGCTGACGCTGGTGGAGCAGCTGAGGTCACGGGAGCTGCTGATGCTGCTGCAGCTGGTGTGAGTGGGTTCGAAGAAGGCGGTGCAGTGCTTGAGGCGGCAGCAGCACCTGTGGTAGATGCAGCAGTAACAGGGGCGGGGATGGGGATGGGGGAGGGCGATGGGGTGTTTGAGGAGCAGGACCTGTCAGAGGACCCAGGGACGGTTGTGGACTCACTGGCAACGTCTGGGCCTGAGGCGGCTGTTGAGGCAGAGGGTATAGCAGAGGCAGAGGTTACTGGGGGAGAGGGTGCAGCAGGGCAAGAGGGGTCGGCAGGGCAAGAAGGGTTAGCAGGAGAGGAGGGCACAGCAGGCGAAGGAGACGTGTTTTGGAAGGAGGAGGTGTTGGAGGCAGCTGCTGTGGCAGCCCCATGGGAAGCAGAGGGTGGTGCGACAGAAGCCGAGGGCGGGATAAGCACGTCAGTGTTGAGTGCAGCTGGACCTGGGACTGAGGTGGCGGGTGGAGAGGCACAGTCAGAGGCAGACGCACAGGTAGAGGCACAGGCAGAGATGTTTGCGGTTAGTGGCGAGGCAGCAGGGGGCGACGTCATTGCAACGGAGTACCCGGGGTGGGTGGTGGATGCAGTCACAGGCGAGTGGCGGCAGGTGGGCGAGGTGGAGCCAGCAGCAGCAGATGGGGCTGGCGGTGCGGAGGGCAGCAGCAGCACAGCAGCAGGAGGGGAGGCCATCGCGCTGCAGTACCCCGGGTGGCGCTGGGATGGCCTGCTGGGCCAGTGGGTGCCTGACTACCAGGCAGAGGCTGCTGCTGATGGGGCTGAAGCTGTGGCAGCAGTGGCTGCTGTGAACGAGGGCGAGGCGGCAGAGGTAGCTGCAGTGGAGGCGGTGGGTGAACCAGCAGAGAGCTCGGGTGCGGAGGCTATGGGTGGGGAGGCAGGGGGCGTTGAAGGCGGTGCAGAGGGGGAAGTGATAGCGACAGAGTACCCAGGGTGGAGGTGGGACCCTGTGGTGGGTCAGTGGCTGCCCACGGACGAGCAGGTGCCTTCTGGTGCAGGCGCAGCTGCTGCTGCAGACGAAGCTACTGCTGCCGCTGTGGAGGTGGTGAGTGGCGCGGGGGATGGGGCAGCAGCGGTGGCTGGCAGCGTGGCAGCAGTGGGGGAGAGTGCAGGGAGTGCGGATGCAGTGGGTGCAGGCATTGGGGCGGCGGAGGCGGATGAGTGGGCTCAGTTTGAAGACACGGTGCCCAAGGAAGGGGAGGCAGAGGGGGGAGCTGCTGCAGGCGCAGGCAGTGCGGGGGCGTCGCAGGGCGAGCCTTCCATGCAGCTGTCGTTTGAAGCAGCTCCGCCCCTCCCTGGCCTCGCCCCACCTCCGGACTCTCTTGCTGCTGGGACTGACGACGAGCATGCGTCCGGGGCTGTTCTTGCTGCGAGCGGGGAGGCAGGTGCGGAAGGGCAAGGCGAGCAGGGTGGCGCGCAGGGAGTAGAGGCAGGTGCGGCTTCAGAGGTGAATGCAGCCGGTGCGAGTGCAGCCGGTGCGAGTGCAGGAGGCGAGGTGGCAGGTGCAGCAGAGGGTGAGGCAGGGGCGTGGGCCCAGCAGGATTGGAGCCAGTGGGGGCAAAAGGAGTATGATGCGTACAATGCTTGGTACTACCAGCAGCAGCAGCAGACGCAGGAAGGGGAGGGACAAGCACAAGTCACGGAGTATGGCAGCACGGAGGCAGTGGCAGCACAGAGTGCAGCAGCAGCAGGGGTTAACGGGGAAGCAGTGGCAGCAGAGGGTGCATCCTCCTACCCTTCAGCACCAGGCAGTGCCGCCTCACAGCCTCTGCAGCAGCCGCCAGTGCCCATGCAGCCACAGCCGTTCCTGCCCGCCCCTGCCCCATGGGGAGAGGGTGGCGCAGCAGAGGCGCAGGGCGGCAGCAGCTACCCTGGTGGGTCGTCTCAGCCTGACCCTGGATACGGCCCTGCTGGCTCGCGCTATAGCCAGCCTGACCCCGGCTACAGCCAGCCCCAGCCACTGGCCCCCTGGGTGCCAGGCACGGCAGGGAAACGTGGGATAGGGCTCATGGTGCCATCCGCCCCGTACTCTCAGCAGCAGACGCAGCAGCAAGCACAGCAGGCGGCAGGAGTTGGGGGGTACGCACAGGGGTACCAGGGGTACCAGCAGGGGTACCAGTATGGGCAGTACGAGCAGCAGCAGGCGCAGCAGCAGTACCAGCCGGTGCAATACAATCATGTGCCGCCCACAAGCACAGCGGAGGCCGTGCTGTCGTCTGCAGGCCGCCCGCCACACACGCTGCTGGCGTTTGGGTTTGGAGGCAGGGCGGCCGTGGTGGTGCCTGGCAGCTCGCTTGGACAGACCATGGGGTCGCAGGGGCAGGTGGAGGTCAGTGCTGCTCTTGTGTTGCTTCTGTGGATTCTTGAAAGCAATACCTGTGCTGCAGTCCTCGCTTTCCATCACTTGCTGCTTACTCATGTACTCATTTTAGAATCGCCTTGCTTCTATCACCTGTAATTCACCTGCCCAGTCATTCCCCCACTTTTCCTTCCTTAACTCCCTTTCCCTTCCAATCCCCGCCCGCCTCTCCCCTTCCGCCTGCCTACTGACCGCAGCTGTCCCCGCCAGTGCAGCCAACACTGAAGCTGCTGCCCCTGCCGCACCTGCTCAGCCTCGCCGCCCACGACGGCGCCTCCACGGCCGCCAGCACCGCTGGCGCGCTCTACCTCGCCCCGCTCACCGGCAAGCACGCGCCCAATGGGCCGCTGACAGCTGGCGGCATGTCGGCCAAGGAGCTGAGCAAGTGGTTGGAGGAGCGGGCGGAGCGGAGTGGCGAGGAGGAGGAGGCGGAGGGAGCGGGCGGTGGGGGTGCAGGGGGTGTGGAGAGGGTGGAAAGTGTGGCGCTGCTGTGGCGGGTGCTGCGTGTGGCGTGTCAGTTCTATGGGCAGTTGAGGCGGGATGGCATGGGCAGTCGCTCCGCACAGGTGCGTGCAGCGTGGTGGGTAGGTGAGTGGGGAAGCAGGTTATTCCCATGCTCCCTTCGCCCAACCATCCTCCTGTCTGTTTTCTCCTTCTCCCTTCCGTGTGTTGCCATCATCCTTGCTGCCTGCAGCGCAGCATGAGTGCTGTGAGCCATTTTTCACGGTGCCATTCTTGCCATTTTTTTGTCCAAAGGATTTTTATCGTACCATTTTGTGTGCGTAAGTTGTTGGCCTTACCGTGCATGCTCCCATGTACCACTTGCCCTTTGCCATTTGTCGTGCACAGGGTGAGTCATCTCCAGAAGCAGAGCTAGCCAAAGCACTGGTGGGGGACCGGGCTGGAGCCAGCGCTGCTATAGCCGCCCCTGCTGCTACAGCCGGGCCCTTCCCCTCAGTGGCAGCGCCGGCAGGTGCAATGGCTCCCATGGCGCCATACGCTTCTGCATGGTCACCCCTGCCTGCTGCCGCCTCTGCTGCTGCCCGTGTGTCGGACCTCCAACTGCCCATCCCCACGGAAGCTGCTGTTCAGGTGCGCACCCCCTGCTCTCCTTCCACGTGCCGTCTGCACGATCCCTTGACTTGTTGTCTGACGACTCCCTTTTCCTACACTCCCTATCCTCTAGATGCACCCTCTGCTCTGCAGCGAGCCCCTCCTCCCCCTCCCCCTCCCTCTGCAACTATGCCCCACCACAGGCAGCAGCGCGGGAGGTGAAGGCGCATCTGGTGGCGGGGAGGCACATGCAGGCGCTGGAGGCAGCCAAGGCGGGCCACCTCTGGGGGCTGGCGCTGCTGCTGGCGCAGCACATGGGCGGGCCTAATGACTCGCGCCTCTTCCTCTCCACCGCGCAAGCCATGGCGGCACAGCAGTTCGCCCCTGGTGCCCCTCTGCGCACGCTCACTCTGCTGCTCACCCAGCAGCCATCTGCCGTGTTTGCCTCTCCTGCTGCTGCCATCGGTGGCACTGCTGATGCCACCAAGACAGGCGTCAGTGGTGCTGCTGGTGCTGGTGCTGCTGGTGGTGATGGTGGCAGCAGTGGGAGCAGTGACGAAGGTGTGCGAGCGATGGTGGCGGAGTGGAGGGAGAATCTGGCGCTCATGGCAGCCACGCGCACGAGTGGCGACGAGAGGGTCATTTCCCACCTGGGTGATTGCCTGTGGCGCCTCAGGGGGGACGTGGCCGCAGCACACATCTGCTACCTCGTGGCAGCAGGCAGCTTAGAGCCCTTCTCCTCCTCTGCACGCATGTGCCTGCTGGGCACGGATCACCTCAAGCACCCACGCACGTTTGTGACGGTGCAAGCCATTCAGCGCAGTGAGGTGCTGGAGTATGCGTTCATTCTCGGCAATCCGCAGTTCGTGCTGCTCCCCCTGCTGCCCTTCAAGCTTGTGTATGCCGCCATGCTGACCGAAGCAGGCCGCCCGGCCGCCGCCCTCAAGTACTGTAGCGCGGTGCTGAAGATGCTCAAGGCGGGCGGCAGGGGGCGGGGGGTGGCGGCGGAGGTGGAGGGGTGGAGGGCAGCAGCGGAGCAGATGGAGGAGCGGCTCAAGGTGCACGTGCAGGGGGCAGGGGGCGGTGGGGTGGCGGCAGCACGCGTGTTTGGAGATCTCATGAGCTTCCTTGATAGAGGCGCCAGGAAGATTGTCGGTGGGGGGCCTGCTGCTACGCCTCTTGCGCCAGGTGTCGCATCGGCATTGGGTGGAGGCGCTATGGGGGACATTGTGCCCGGAGGGGCTGGTAGCAAGCCAGGCTTGGGCGAGTCGTCTCGGTTTGGTTCGGCGCCGAACCTGGGGGTGGCTGGGAAGGCTAGTACGACAGGGGGAGGGGGGTGGTGGGGCCTGGGCAAGCGCGCCATTCCTGCATCCACCTCATCCCCAGGCCTGCACAGCGCGTCCGGGCCGAACCTGGTAGGCTTGGTGGAGGGGCAGGGTGGGAGTGAAGCAGCTCCGGGTAGTGAAGGTGGTGTGGCGAGCAGCTACAGTGCTGCTGCTTCTGCAATGGCTGGTGGTGGGTCAACGGGTGGCTGGTCTGTTGGTGCTGTGGGCGCAGCAGCAGGGGCGGACGGAGGAACGGGAGGGGAGCAGGGCAGTGCGTGGAGCGGAGGGATGAGTGGGGGAGTGCAAGGGACGGCAGGTGGTGGTAGTGAGTGGGGGCAGGGGGTGGTGCACGCAGGGCAGGTGGAGCACAGCGAGTTGGCTGCGCAGCAGTATGGTGGTTACGCTGGTGGTTACCAGCTAGACCAGCAGCAGCAGTGGCAGCAATGGGAGCAGCAGCAACAACAGCAGCAGCAACAGTGGCAGGAGTGGGAGCAGCAGCAGCAGCAGCAGCAGTGGGGTCAGGAGCAGCAGCAGCAACAAGCCTGGTCGGAGCAGCAGCAGGCATGGGGTGAGCAGCAGCAGCAAGGCTGGTCTCAGGAGACACAGGCTTGGGGTGAGCTACAGCAACAGCCGCAGCAGGAACAGGTGGGGGTGCAGCAGTGGGGTGAAGGATACGGAGTGGCAGGAGGGGGAGCGCAAGCAGGGCAGGAGCAAGGGGAGCAGCAGACAGGCACAGGAGCAGGCGAGATGTCTCCTCAGCAGCAGCAGGAGCAGCCAGGGGGAGAGCGGGAGGGGGGTGGCGAGGGCGAGTGGCACGATGCAGCGGCTGAGGTGTTATCCGACACCTCTGACTCCGCCGCCTGCACTCCCCTCTCCTCCTCCTCCTCTCCTGCTCCCGCCACTGCTGACATGCCCCCCATCGCCCTCTCCCCGGCCTACGGCACACCCATGGGGGATAACAGCACAGCAGCAGGGGGAGCAGCAGGAGGAGCGAGCAGCAGGGCAGGGGAGGCGGTGCCTCCTGCGTCCCAGACGCCAGCAATCAGGGAGGACGAGCCCCTCTCCATGGCAGCCTTTGCAGCGGAGTGGCACGGCACACCCAGTGCAGCAGGGTGGGGGTCGGGGCACCTCACACCCATCAGAGAGTCCCCCAGCGGGGAGGGCGACACTGACCTGGTGCCGCAGGCCCAGCCTGCCCTCGTGCCGCGCTCCCAGTCCGCCTCCGCTGCAGATCTACCCGCCCCAGGTGCACCTGCCGCCAAGAAGGCCGCCCCGCGCAGCAGATTCTCCCTGGCTGGGCTGCTGGGCGGGCATCCGAGCAAAGTGAGCCCGCAGGATATGGCTGAGGGGAGCGCTGATGCGACACTGACTGGGATGGGTGGGAAGGCGGGAGCGAGTGGCGATGGGGCTAGTGGGGGTGGGCCGTCAGCGTCGTCATCGTCAGCGTCGCTGCTGGGCACGTCATCGTCCATGGGGCTGGTGACAGAGGAGGCGGTGGAGGGGCTGCTCACTAGTGGTGCTGGCATGTCCAACAAGCGCAGTGCCTCCGCTCCTGACATGGGGCAGGCCGTGCCGGTGAGATGTGGGGGGTACATGGTGCATGGTGCATGCAACATGATACATGTACATGATGTATGATGCATTATGGATGACGCATGATACATGATGTATGACACATGATACATGATGTATGGCGCATGATGCATGATGTATGGCGCATGATACATGATGTATGGCGCATGATGCATGATGTATGGCGCATGATACATGATGGCACCATGTTGTGACACTGTATGGATGGGCATCATGGGCCTTGGTATCTCACCCTCCTCCCTTCCCTTTCGTGTCTGCTGCACCCATTGCCTTTCTCCCACCCCATCGCCAGGCCAAGGGCAGCAAGGGCGGAGCGGGCAAGCCGCCAGCAGCGCCAGGGGGAAGGGGCTGGGGCGCCTCTTTGGCTACTTTTGGGGTGGCGGCTCTGCTGCTGGGAGCTCAGGGGGAGGAGGCGCAAGCGGGAAGCAGGTGAGTGAGGAGTGGGTGGATGGGTGAGAGAAGAAGAGATACAACAGCAGGATGTTGGACCTTAGTGCTTGCACCCATATGCTGTCACGTTCACATCACCTTTCCTGTCTCTCTGTTGCTGCTGTTTCTTACACATGCTTGGGACTTTCTCTTTCTAACCCATTTGGCAGGCGAAGCTGGGGGGGGAGAACACGTTTTATTTCAACGAGAAGCTCAAGCGGTGGGTGGAGCGAGGCAAGGAGGACGAGGTGGTGGAAACCACCCTCGCCCCGCCCCCCACCGCCTTTGCCTTCGCCCCCGCTGCTCCCGCCTCCTCCTCCTCCTCCTCTGCTGACCCTCCTGCCACCACCCCTGCTGCTCCTGCTGCGGCTGCTGATGGTGCGCCGCCTGCTGCATCTGCACCGCCAGCTGTCCAGTCAGCAGCTGCTCCTGCGCCAGCTGCTGATTCCACGTCAGCACCGGCCAGCTCAGCAGCGAAGCCCGGCCCTCCACTGGCTTATGCTGGCAGCTTTGGGAGGCGCAGTGCAGTGCGCTCCAGGTGGGCACCCCTCGTCTCCGCTCTGCTATGCCCTGCTCTGCTCTGCTCTGCTCTGCTGTGGGGCCCTGGCTGCTGTGGAAGCGGGGCAATGGGCCGTGCACCCCTGTCTCATTCTCAGCTTGTTTGTGTTTTTCTCCGTTTCCCACTCGCCGCCTACTCACCCCTCTGATTAACTCCCCTTCCCACGTTCCTCCTCCCCCCGGACCACGCGTGCAGGTACGTGGACACATTCAACAAGGGCGCCACACCCGCACCCACGCCTGCCGCCGCGCTGCTGCCCTCCATCCCGCGCCCCATGCCTGCTGCCGCTGGAGCAGCAGCGCCAGCAGCAGGGGGCCCACCCAAGTTCTTCATGCCTGCTGCCCCCATGGCAGTCATGACCCCTGCCCCGGCTCAAGGGGGTGAGGCGAGCAGCACAGAGGGGCTGGGTAATGGAGTGGGGTTATCAGGTGGGGCTGCCGTGCCAGGTGGTGGTTCAGGTGAATCAGGAGCAGCACCTGATGCTCCTGTGCCTGGGCCCATGGCACCTGCAGGCATGGTGGTTGGGGCACCACCGAGATCAGCAGCGGGGGTGGGCAGGGTGGGGCAGGGAGTGGGTGGGCAAGGAGGTGCGGGTGCACAGCAGCACAAGGGTGTGTGGGCCGCGCAGGGGTACATGGCAGCTGCTCATCCCATGCTGCCCCTGGGGGCGCAGGTTGCACAGGGAGCACCGGGAGCTCAGGTAGTGGCGCAGGGGTTTGCAAGCAGTGGTGCATGGGGTGGTGCTGGGGGGGATGGCAGCAGCAATGGCTTCCCAGGGGCTGATGACATGCAGCAGGTGGAGCTGTGAGCGTGGCACTGCACTGGCAACATGGTGGCAATATTGCAAGGAGCTTCGTTGTTATGGAATGGAAACACAGTACTGTGTGTGGCCTTGTGTTGTGTGCCCGGCCTCCTCTTTCACAAGGCTGGTAAGCGCTGGACACATTACCATTGGATGCTGATTGGTTTGGCCAAAGTTGCCATAGGTCCCAGGTTTCGTATGTACGTTTAGTGTGCAGGACGCTCGTTACACAGTGTAATGTTATTCAGTTCAGAGCCACATTCTTCCTTAGCAGAGATGGCAGTGACCGAGTTGTGGAGATTATTACCGCAATAATCTGCCAACGTGGGTGGGCAGCAGCAGGTAATGACCATCGCCAGAGTGGAAAGAGGAAAGGCAAACGCCTCAGCATTTCAATGAAAATAGATATACCAGTGCATTCAAGGGTCGTACCGGTACACCACAAATGCAGCAATATGGTTCACACGAATCGCTACAAGAAGCAGGTGTGCAGAACTGGTGTGGTGTATGGTCACAGCAGCAGCTGCACTGGTGTGGTGTGTGGTCACAGCAGCAGCTGCACTCGCAGCAGCTGAGCCGCCCTCCAACTAGAGAAGGTGAATGCCACCTCCTCCTCATCCTCCTCCTCCTCCTCCTCCTCCTCCTCACCCTCATCTTCCCCCTCCTCAATGTGTGCCTGCACTCGCCTCACACACCTCCTCACTGCCCCCACCTTGCTCACCCTCCCCTGACTCTCCTCCCTTTCCCTTGGCCTCCTGCCATGCACCATACTTTCCTCCCTCCACTGCCTTCTCTGTCGCTGCTGCACACCGCCACTACCATCAGTACCAGCAGCAGCAACAACTGCCCCAGATACCACCTTCCCTGCGTGCCTCTTTGCAGCAGCAGCGTGCTCTAGGGGGCTCACAGCGTCACACAGCCGTCCCAGCAGGCTGCTGCTGCTGCCGCTGCGCTGGTGCCCCCGCAGCTGACTCAAGGGGGGCGGGCGCGAAGGCATGTTCGAGTGGGTTGCAGATGGGTTGGGAGAGGTGGAAGATGTCGTCGCAGCATTGATGGGTGCTACTGGCGGTGCTGATGCAGGGAACGATGCCGGTGGGAGAGGATGGGGCGTGGGCGGGGCTGAGAGGGGTGAGAAGGGTCGGGGGAGTGGGAGGGGCGAGGAGGAGGGATGGGAGGGGAGGAGGGAGGGGATGGAGTAGGAGGAGAGGTCTGCCGAGAGGCAGCGAGGCGTGGAGCGAGCAGAGGTGGCGGCAGAGAGGGAGGAGAAGACGGGGTGACGTGAGGGGGAGGGGGGAGGTGAGAAGAACAAGGGGTCGATGGGAGGGCTGGTGGCAGTCGGAGAGGGGGCGGGGGAGGCGGGGTTGAAGTGAGCGTGCAGGGGTGGTGGGGGGCGGGCGGGAGGGGGCTGGCGGGGCACGTGGCGGTAGAGGTGGCGGATGACCAGCAGCGCTATGTCCTTGTCTATCCATGCATCGCTGGGAGGGGGAGAGGGGAGGGCGTGAGGAAGAAAGGGAGGTAGGAGGGGCGGGAAGAGGGAAGTGGCAGATGATTGTGAGGAGATTGGCAGGAGCTGAGACACAGGCAACAGCAGATGAGAACCTTATTGAAGGAAGAATGGCAATGGACGCAGCACAAAGGTGATGCAGGAAGAAGAGGCATGGGTGGAATGGAAGAGTGGCATGGTAACAGTCGTGCAGGTAAAGGTGATGCAGAGAGGAGAAAGAAGAGGCGAGAGTGAAGAGGCGAGGCGAGAGGGAATTTGTGACTCACAAGTGGCAGCTCATGGCCTGCAGGTACTGGTGCTGGAAGGAGGGGTCCTGGCGGGCACAGCAGCACATAGAGCAAGGGCGGAGAGAGAAGGACCGAGATGAGGCTCATGTGTGTGCGGCTGCAAGGGAGCAATCACACACATACAGCCACGACAACGTCCCAACCCCCATTCCCTCCCGCCCCAGGCCCCAGGCCCCACCTGCAGCATGAAGTCTATGCGGCCGTGCGGAGAGCCCGTGAGGAGTGTGAGCGTGTGCTGCGATCGCGCATCCAACACTGGCATCTCACCGCTGTCGGGGGCTGACAGGGGGAGAGATGGAGGAGAGGAGGGCAACAGCAGGAAGGGACAGCAGGAGGAGGGCGGAAAGAGAGGAGCAGACAGCGTGGTGATGAGAGAAGCAGTGAGAGCGTCACAGCAATGGTGAGTTTGGGCACGCATTGGAGGCATGTCATGCTGTGCATGTGCACTCGGATGAGGTCGGTGCATATGAGTGGAGGTGGGTGCATACCCGGTGCGGGTCGAGGAGGTGGAGTGGCGAAGCACAGCAGACTCCATGCGGACCTCTGGCAGGGGTGGGGATGGGTTGAGGGGAGTGAGAAGGGAGCAACCAGGGAGGAGGCGAGAGGCAGGGAGAGGCGTGAGATGCATGCTGATGCTGATGCTGATGCTGATGCTGATATGATGCTGATGCTGATGCCTATGCTGATATGATGCTGACGCTGATGCTGATGCTGATGCTGATGCCTATGCTGATATGATGCTGACGCTGATGCTGATGCTGATGCTGATGCTAATGCTGATGCTGACGCTGATGCTGATGCTGATGCTGATACGCTGATGCTGATGCTGATGCTGATATGATGCTGATGCTGATGCTGATGCTGATGCTGATATGATGCTGATGCTGATGCTGATGCTGATGCTGATATGATGCTGATGCTGATGCTGATGCTGATATGATGCTGATGCTGATGCTGATTTGATGCTGATGCTGATGCTGATGCTGATGCTGATGCTTATGCTGATGCTGATGCTGATGCTGATGCTGATGCTGATGCTGATGCTGATGCTGATATGATGCTGATGCTGATGCTGATGCTGATGCTGATATGATGCTGATGCTGATGCTGATCCTGATGCTGATGCTGATGCTGATATGATGCTGATGCTGATGCTTATGCTGATGCTGATGCTGATGCTGATGCTGATGCTCATGCTTATGCTGATGCTGATGCTGATGCTGATGTGCTGATGCTGATGCTGATGCTGATATGATGCTGATGCTGATGCTGATGCTGATGCTGATATGATGCTGATGCTAATGCTGATGCTGATGCTGATGCTGATGCTGATGCTGATATGATGCTGATGCTGATGCTGATGCTGATGCTGATATGATGCTGATGCTGATGCTGATGCTGATGCTGATGCTTATGCTGATGCTGATGCTGATGCTGATGCTGATGCTGATGCTGATGCTGATATGATGCTGATGCTGATGCTGATGCTGATGCTGATGCTGATGCTGATATGATGCTGATGCTGATGCTGATGCTGATGCTAATGCTGATGCTGATGCTGATGCTGATGCTAATGCTGATGCTGATGCTGATGCTGATGCTGATGCTGATACGCTGATGCTGATGCTGATGCTGATGCTGATGCTGATATGATGCTGATGCTGATGCTGATGCTGATGCTGATGCTGATGCTGATGCTGATATGATGCTGATGCTGATGCTGATGCTGATGCTGATATGATGCTGATGCTAATGCTGATGCTGATGCTGATGCTGATGCTGATATGATGCTGATGCTGATGCTGATATGATGCTGATGCTGATACTGATATGATGCTGATGCTGATGCTGATGCTGATGCTGATGCTGATGCTGATGCTGATGCT